TTGAAAATGTTCAGTTAAGAGAACAGTTCAAACAATACAAATTATAAATGAAACAGTTCACAGCTATAATTGTATAATAATTTTCAGCTTTTTTTTTTGCAATTATTATCTCAATATAATACACATAGAAAATTTTAAGAGAAAAAATAAATTGTTCATTTTCAAAACAAAGAATTTTTTTTTTTTTTTCTGCAAAAGATATTGGAATTTTTTTTACATAGAACAACAGCAAAAGAAATTGTTTTGCATTCAAAATACAGTTTTTATACATTTTTAATGGAAACTTCTTATAAGCTGAGACAAAATAATATGTTGCTTTGTTTTTTTTTTTGTTTCCTCTATCATCTTTCTCTTTTTTTTTTGAACCAATTATACCTTATTTTCAATTTGAATTGATCAACAGAATCTGTTCGCTATTGTCACTTCAACAAGTACCTTTGTCAAAAAAAATTGTTCATGCAATAATTTGATTATTTGCCTATATTATAACCATCAAATAATAACAGCAAAAAAAAAAGAATAGAAAAAAAACACTAAAGCACTGTAATTAGCAGTAAAAATTAGCATTTAAATATTCTGTGCTAAATTTGAGGTTAATCGATAGACTTAGTTGAAGAAATATTTTATGTGTAAAACGAGCAAAAAAAAAAAGAAGAGAAGAGAAGAGAAGCGAAGAGAAAGACGAAATCAGTTGATGTAACAAGCAAAACAGTGTAATTCATGTGATTCATAGCTGTGAAAATTACCAGAAAAACAAAGTGAAAACACAACCGAATGAATGAATCATTTGCTCTCATCTTTTTCTTTTGCTCGTCACATTTACTTCACACAAAACTTAATGCGGAATTTCTTCTGGTATTTTTCAAAAAAAAGCAAAAAAAAAGTCAAAAACAGGTAGAAATGATGAAAAAGAGTATGGAGCCTATTGAAACAGAGACGATGAAGCAATGAAAGAACGAAGACGGGAACTGCGGGTAACAGAGGGAGAAGAAAAATTTTTATTTATTTTTTTTTTCTGATTACCCTTCTTAAGTTTCTGAAAATCAAAGGTAACATTACCACCATCAACAGCAACAGCAACATCACCGCTACCATCACTGCCATCAACTTACCAATAACAACAGCAACAGAAACAGAAACAGCAACAGAAACAGAAACAGAAACAGAAAAATAAGGCAAATGGGTAAAAGACTGCAAAAAAAAAAGTAAATCAAATTTTGTTATGTAACTTTGTTTTTATTTCCCTGTGAATATGTTCTTTTTTTTTCTTTACTTTAAGATGCTCATATAATTTATAGTTTTAAGGGCAAGTTTTCACTTCCTATGATAAAACAATTTATAACACTTATTAGTTGGCTTTCTAAGAAAAAAAGCCAGAAATTAAATAGAGTAAAAAAAAAAAAGAAAGAATTAGCAGAAAAAAAAATGACAACTGCTTGCTGTACTTTTGAAGATAATTGACTTGAAGAAGAAGAAGAAGAAGAAGAAGAAGAAAAAAGTGCAAAAACTTCCTTTATATTCTTTTTCAATTGCCTCAAATACAAAAAAAAACAATGTTTTTTTTTTTTTTTTTTT